TTCACCCCCAACCGCCAGTTGAGTCATGCCGCTGTCAAAACCGCAGTTTGTTGTGTGTAGCTTCAGTTAGAAATTGTGGTGACTTCTGACCCTTGACCAGCTCAAGCTTGAGCCATACTCAAACTAACCCAGCTGCAATTCAACTGGCTCAGCTGCGAAGTCCAATCGATAAGCCCTTGCAAATGCATCGTAGAGGAACTATTAAACATAATATTAGCACTCGACTAGTTGCCTTGCGATCTCATGCAAGTTCACATGTCACAATTTGAATAAAATCAGAACAATACCTCATTATAAAGGAGCTTCTCCTGGCGCTGACCAATGTGCAGTCAAAGACGTTATTGAGTTGAAAGTGAGCACTAAGGAAGGATTATGGATTATTAGTGAGCGATTGAACTTATTTACCAAGTCCGAAAGTTATCATTGATTGAAGCGCGCTGTTACACAACACGCAAAAGCTGTTTTCCAGGCTAAGATTCATTTCTCTGCATTTCGCTTTCTTTCGACAAAATGTAGCTGCTTCATTTGCCGACTACTCAATGTCTATTTGCCATGCGACTAGGGCAAAACAAAGCACTTGAGGTGCTTCAATGGGCATCAACACATCAACAGACAAATGCACTCATATAATCAAACACACACACACACATACATTCACATGGACCCCAGGCAAGTCAGCTAATTATGTCAATTGCAGAGCTCTCCCTGACACTTGCCAGCAATTGCCACTTTATGTTAAGTTTCGCACTGCGATGCATGCGGAAGGGCGTGAAGGGCAGTGGGCGTGACAGGGAGTGTATACACTTTGCATAGTTCGGTGCATGTCAAAGAACGGCAAAAATGCAACAACAATTCTCAAGTAGTCCAAGGAGAGTGTTGCATGTTGCACGTTGCCGGTTAATGATGAAACGAAGCGCTGCAGGCAAATGTTTGACGAGCTGCGACAAAAGAAATTGATTCACACAAATCATGTGTGTGTATTTGTGCATCAAATGCAAATACATTCAATTAGAATACAGCTTTGATGTTTGTTTCTGACTTTTGACACACACACCAACACACACACGCACGTGCTTACACACACACACACACACGTGCGCGCATAATAGAATATAGTAGGTCAGGGCCGCCTGAAAGCAGGCTACAGTTCTCACTCGCAATGCAGCCACTTAGCCTAACCACACGCGAACCCTATGCTGACCTATAGAAAGGCACACACAATACAAATTCGAACACATGCACAGATATTATAAAGTGCGCTACACTTACAAATCTTTTTGGCAGCCACGTGCGGAAGACAAACAAGTCCAAGCCTCGAAAATCAACTCACGTAGAGCTCGTTATTTATTCAAGTCAATGGAACACTGACATAGCCCCACAAACAGGCCCAAGCTTACACACACACACTCGCACATGGAGAAATTTGCTACTATTTGGCCTAAATGTGCATTTGGCAAAATGGCCAACGTAGTAGCCGCAAAAATAACGTATATTGGCAGAAAAAAAATGCCAACTACGACTTCAGTCAAATAACAATAACAATTCAATCAAATTGTGCGCGTGTTCGTGTATATGGAAATCTACGAATGCCAACAAATAACAACATTGAATGTGACGTGGCTGCTTGGCAATACGGCGGGTGATAGAGTGGAGGATGGAGGCATGCAGGGGAAAGGCAGCTTCAAAACATTGCAAAACGCAACCCGAAATGTTTTGATATAAATGAGCAATTGCCTTAGATGAGCTGAAAAGCTTTCCGAGTGCCATAAAATAAATGAGAGGAAATACCAATGCCTCGCTCTCTCTCTCTCTCTCTCTATCTCTCGCTCTGCGCCTGCGCAGTCAAATTGTCCCAATTTAACCGTAAGTTATCTTTATCTACAGCCGAATATGCGGTTAAATGGAATTTCCCCATGTGAAGCTCGTGACTTGTGCGATGTTTCCTGGCGATGTTACGGGCAACAACTGTGTACAAGGCGCCAATTGTGCCTGGGGAAAGAAAAAATCAAAAAGCAATAACTGTATACATTTCTGAATAGGAACGCTAAAGATAATGTAATAATCTCGGGTAATAGCTCCGCGCGGAGATATGACGTTCCAAAACGACATAACTCCCCGCGGAGATATGACGTTCCAAAACGACATAACTCCGCGCGGAGATATCACGTTCCAAAACGACATAATTCCCCGCGGAGATATGACGTTCAAAAACGACATAACTCCCCGCGGAGATATGACGTTCCAAAACGACACAACTCCGCGCGGAGATATCACGTTCCAAAACGACATAACTCTGCGCGGAGATATGACGTTCCAAAACTACATAACTCCCCGCGGAGATATGACGTTCCAAAACGACATAACTCCCCGCGGAGATATGACGTTCCAAAACGACATAACTCCGCGCGGAGATATGACGTTCCAAAACGACATAACTCCCCGCGGAGATATGACGTTCCAAAACGACATAACTCCGCGCGGAGATATGACGTTCCAAAACGACATAACTCCCCGCGGAGATATGACGTTCCAAAACGACATAACTCCCCGCGGAGATATGACGTTCAAAAACGACATAACTCCCCGCGGAGATATGACGTTCCAAAACGACACAACTCCGCGCGGAGATATCCCGTTCCAAAACGACATAACTCTGCGCGGAGATATGACGTTCCAAAACGACATAACTCCGCGCGGAGGTATGAAGTTCCAAAACGACACAACTCTGCGCGGAGATATGACGTTCCAAAACGACATAACTCCCCGCGGAGATATGACGTTCCAAAACGACACAACTCCGCGCGGAGATATCACGTTCTAAAACGACATAACTCTGCGCGGAGATATGACGTTCCAAAACGACATAATTCCCCGCGGAGATATGACGTTCCAAAACGACACAACTCTGCGCGGAGATATCACGTTCTAAAACGACATAACTCCGCGCGGAGGTATGAAGTTCCAAAACGACACAACTCTGCGCGGAGATATGACGTTCCAAAACGACATAACTCCCCGCGGAGATATGACGTTCCAAAACGACATAACTCCGCGCGGAGATATCACGTTCTAAAACGACATAACTCTGCGCGGAGATATGACGTTCCAAAACGACATAATTCCCCGCGGAGATATGACGTTCCAAAACGACATAACTCCCTGCGGTGATATGACGTTCCAAAACGACATAACTCCCCGCGGAGATATGACGTTCCAAAACGACATAACTCCCCGCGGAGATATGACGTTCCAAAACGACATAACTCCCTGCGGAGATATGACGTTCCAAAACGACATAACTCCCTGCGGAGATATGACGTTCCAAAACGACATAACTCCCTGCGGAGATATGACGTTCCAAAACGACATAACTCCAGGTCGCTCGGAGGTCGAGGTCGGTGCGAAAATCGAAACTTTTTCGATGATTTTTTTTTAATATCTCGGGTAAATAATGTCTGATTTTAAAATGTTATACCTTTTTGAATGCGTACGGATCCCTACCATCAATTGGCATTCAAACAAATTAATCATCGATGGGTTGAAAAATGTTGTTGACAAAAAACCGATTACTTCGTAAATTCAACCTTTTTGATGATTTTTTGGAATATTTCCGTCAAATAATGTGCGATTTTGCAATTTCATACCATTTTCGACTCGTAAGGATCAGTTCTATCGATTGGCATAAAAAAAAGGAAATCCAAAATTTTGACCCAAATCGACAAAATGGCAAGGCAATCACACTTTTTATCAAAATAGAGGTCGATGCGAAAATCTAGCCATGTCCGTCTGTCTGTCTGTCCGTATGTATGAATGCAAGGATTCCAGAACCTGTAAGAGCTAGAGACTTGAAATTAAGATGTAGATGCTCCTAGTGCCCGCGCGAATCGAGTTTGTTTCCGATAATCGATAACTTACTCCCTTTCCAAGCAATCGACATGAATCGATATCGATATCCTGTTTCAGGGTATCCCCTAGTCGGGAGCTCCCGACTAGAACCTTTAATTTGTTCTTTCGTGACCTTGTCACTTGTATTAAGAACTTAATTAAGAAATTAAATCGCCTTATCGGTAATGTTTTTGTCAATTAATTTGTTGTTCATTGATTAGTTTGAAGTTACAGTTTTCTATACATTTTTTTGTTGTGTTTTCAAAAATGTGCATCAAGCCACAAAAGTTTTCGAGTGCGCACTTGCAACACGCGCCGCAGTTTGTTCCAGTTACCTCTTCACAACTCTGGCTTACAAAATAGCCGCTGTTGCTGTTTTAGGCGCCACCCACTATTTTTTGGTATAACCTCCCGGCCCGTGTGCATTTTCACAGCCATTTGAACTTGGCAAAACTTGCAAAATGTGCAACATAGCGTTAAGAAATCGTGTTAAGCGCTGCAGTTAGCTCTCGAAGAGGCAGCCACCAGAAAAACTTTAGTGAAATTTGCATAAAGACATGCGTATGTGAGTGTCTAGATACATATTCATATATCTACAGTTACAACTATTCGTATGCGCCCGCATCACGTGCAGGGCAATGTGCAATCAGCTGCAATCGATTCACGAAGACGGTGATCCGACTATTGTGAATACTTTAAAAGGGCTTTAGAACTTATAGAATTTTTCAAAGTTAATACTCTTCATTTTTAAGTTTTTTATATATTATATTATTATCATTATTATTGTTGCTATTACTATTACTATTACCATTATTATTTTTATTATTATTACAAATATTGTTTTTATTATAATTTTTATCAAATGGCCTTAGGTCTTATAAGGCGACATTTTTGCTGGTTCGAGCCCAATTTACCACATTGCAAGGGCTGTTTAAAATGCAAATGACATACAATTTGTTATTATTATTATCATTATTATAATTAAGCAACTGAGACATTCGGATTTAAGCATCACTGCACTCGCTTTAAATTTAATTTCTTGTTGTTCAAGGATCCAATAACTGGGTCACTCAAACAGCGTTTCAAGATATAAAGCAATATTAAACACATCATAATTAAGGCATGTCAACAACGAGGTTTATTTTATTTAAAAAAATATATTTTAATTCAATTAAGTTCAGAATTGATAAAGCTGACTGACATCTCTGCCTCATTCGCGACCAACTGAGAGCGACTTGTTACCCAAGCGTGGAAAGGTTTTGCTCTCGTTGAAGTTATATAAATGTAAATAAGTTAACTCCCACTCACTTGGTTCAATCAGAATAAAAGTAGCCGAGCAACGCCGGATATGGATATGAGCACTTATATAAATCTGCAACAGAAATGTATTTGTATCTAGTTGCAAATAGTTATTGCCTATATGTGTTTTTGATACACTTGACAACCCAAACTTTGTCAACTGAGTTGTTGTTGTTGTTATTTTTGTCAGTTTACATTTGCATTTTTACTGCAAATGCGAAATCGATTTCATGTTTTGCGAGTAACTTGGACGACTCGGGTTACACACATGTCTATTTAGAGCAGCCAGCCAATGCTGAACAGCAAAAACAGTCGAATTCCTTTGATGCGTTTTATTGGCCCTGCATTGTTGCTGTCACCGTTGACAATCTCTCTCTATCTGCGTCCCTCACGACGTATGCGCAATATTTACTCAGTCTTATTATTATACCCGAAGGCCTTTGAAAATGAGTAAAATATTCTTAATCAGATGAACGGAGTTCATCTAGCCTTGTCATTCTCATAATTTGTTATTATTTTCTATTTTCTATTTTCTATTTTGGAAATGTCGACTTTGAGATACGGCTTAATAACCATAAACACACTCTTGTATTCCATTTTAGCCCTGATCATGTGTAAGCAGGAGAGAATGTTGGCAGCGGCAGCTTGGCGCTGGATTCAGGGTATCGTCTAGCCGGGCAGTCCCGACTAGAGCACTCTCACTTGTCCATATACCCCTTATTCAATGTCACCAGAACTGTCTGCGTCGAGCAGGCAGACATCGTCCGCTTGTTTCGTACATTTAATTCAATGTTCGGCTGCTTGTTGTTTTTGCAACGTTCACTTACGCTTCATTTCCGTCCGGTCCTGTAGAGCATATCCGCCTGATATTGCGTCTGATTTCCGCTTTTCGCTTCAGCGAGCTGCGAATTGCGAACGAACAGTCGCTGAGATTGACATTATGTCCCACATGTCTGTCTGTTCGCACATCCGTCTGTACATCTATGAGTCGGTACGTTTAAGTATCTGTGTTACGGCATCTTCGTGTCCTTCAAAGTGAAAGTTGTCGCTTTCGTCTCCGGCCACAATCAACTTGTACTTAGAAATTTTGTTTTTTGATTTGCTTCCTTGACATTGAAAGCACATTCCTATTGTACACATATTGGCGTTTATTGATTATTGTGCTGTTTTCTAATTGACATTTCAATTTTCCAAATTAAATTCAATTTGATATAAATTGTTACAATAAATTCGGAATTGCCCTTTCACATTTCACTTAAGAGCTGTTCGCATATACAAATTTTTAGTTAAGCAATTAGTTTAGTAATTCGTATAAAGGCAACAATTATTTGTTAGTTTTCGATTAAGAATCTGTTTCAGCTAAGTCCTACGTCATGAAATGTACATTTGATGTTCACAAAAAGTTTTCTGCTTCCAAAACATTTCTTGATATGATTCGGTTCGCTTTTTATTACATTTCGCGGCCTTGTTAATATGACAAAAATGATTGAATTTGTCTGGAAGCAATTTAGGCGGCTTTGTCTCTGCCCGAAGCTGGCGCTAATTGTACCAAAAGTTTCAGTACTAGTTCAGAGTATATAAATGAAAGGTGAGGCAGAACAATTTTACCGAGCTAACCAAAAGGGACAACGGATTAATCAATATGCCAAAGGAACTGTCCGTGGGAACCAGAGTGTTTTTTTATATTTGTGTATGCTCCAAATATGCGATCAAATTCTGCTTCATTTTGTTAAGTTTGAATAAAATGAATGTAAATCAAGCCCGGGTAGCTCAGTCGGTAGAGCATTGGACTTTTAATCCAAGGGTCCAGGGTTCAAGTCCCTGCTCGGGCGACTTTTTGGCTTACAGTACGTTTAAAATATTTTATCCCTGCTGTCTTAAGCCTTGTATGCCCTCTGAACCCATTTAAACTAGTTTCAAAGGTATACTTGTTTTGTGCAAGAAGCATTTTCGATGCCAGTCACAGTAAGTTTAATCAGACAGTCGATAGGGATCAAGTCTCTTCTTGAACTAATATTTTTCTTAACTCTTTTTATAGAACTGTGGACCTTATTTTAACCAGTTACGCACAGTTAAGTTTAGGACTAAAAACACTTCTAACGTCTGCAAATGTATATTACCTATGGTTCTCCGAAAGTAACTATTTTTTTCTTGTTTTAGTTTTTGTTAGAAACATCCAATGCCCGGGTAGCTCAGTCGGTAGAGCATTGGACTTTTAATCCAAGGGTCCAGGGTTCAAGTCCCTGCTTGGGCGATCGCTTTTTAACTTACGGTTCTTTTAATCCATAAATATACGTATATATTTTGGTACAAAATTTTCAATAGTGCTAGATTTTGGAAATATATCCTGCCATATTTGAAAAAAGTTTTAAAGAGTCGAATGATTCCAAAACCCAATTGATTTTGAAATGTAATGCCTGGATACATTAAAAGTCAAATATAAAAGTTCTAAAATATAAAAAGAAACGTCGCCCGAGCAGGGACTTGAACCCTGGACCCTTGGATTAAAAGTCCAATGCTCTACCGACTGAGCTACCCGGGCACATGGACTTTTGGAGTTTAATGTCGTATAGTTGCCACACAAACTCCTGATTTATTTATAGAATATACATAGTGCATCTAACCACCTAAATAGAAGGCCTGAAGACTTATCCTTGCAATACAGAAACAAAACTTATCTATGTATACTTTGACGATGACAACTCTTCTACATGAATTTATACTTAATGCAGGGTATTTCTTAGTTCTCTATTTGAGCGAAAGCCAATTCTTCATTGTTGTTAGTTGCTTTATCCTTTGACAGCACTCATCGAACCATTTATATTTATGATCTAAATGGGGGAAAAAAATAGAGCACGAGGCTTGCAATTCAGATGAGTTATGCGAGGGAATTTGTACACATCATAAAATTCTTATCCTAACATAGTTGCCATTCGCAGTGCATGAACAGTAATGCGTCTGTTGACCCAATCCCATTTGATGTCACCATTTTCGCATCGGCCCACTTTCCACGTCCCAGATGTTGACGTTTTTATCCGTGAAGCTGGCCCACCCAAGCCCCCCACTCCCTATGACTGTCTGTCATCCAAAATCCATTGAGCGTAACGTATGAGCAGGAAATTCTTTGCATTTCATTTCAAGCTCTCAGATTCCAATGCAGGTCCTTCTCTAGCCATTGTGTGTGTATTTGTGTATGCGAATCTCTAAGTGTGTGTGACTTTTATAGTCTATTAATTTTATTAGTACCATTGCAGTCAGTCAGTATTCAAGTTGTCGCATTTAAGTTGTCTCGGTCTGTGTCTAGCTCTTACATTAGCCTGACTGATTCTCATTACTGGATGGCCAATTCGAATTGAACGTTTGATACTTATTCTATGTCCGACACATGATATGTGCGCTGCAATAATCTGGTTAATGCAATTATAATGTCACATCTCGGGCGAACTATAGACCCTATGTGGCAAACAGATACACTACAAACTGCAAGAAACTTATATCATTAATACAACTCTAATAGATTATCCAAGTCTAATTTACATCAGTTTAATGAAATGTGTATCAGACAGAGATAATATTTGTAGCGCATTCTTAGGTGTAGGTAAAACGTAGTTTAATCCGTATATGAATTAGCCTATGACTTTCGGCTGACTACCTCGCTGTAACTTTCATCACTCGAGCAATTATTTAGCCATTTCCAGCTGGGCAGCCAACTTTTTCCTCCTTTTACCCCAGTGCGGGCAACGGTCAGTCGCACATTTCAGTTGATTTATTTGTTGCATTAGTGGACGCTAGTCGACGTCCTTGGCAGTCGCCCACTTCAGTTGAGTCTGTGCGCCCAGAGGTATGCAGCGTTCTTTTCTGCCACTTCTGTTGCGGCTGCAGCTGCCACGGCCATGCGTCGTAATAAATGGGCGCCTGGATGCTGCTCAAGCTCAGGCGACCGTTGAGCAGTACATTAACAATTTTTAATGCCATAAAAATGCAGGATAGCCCAGGTAATGACATCCACAGCCAAAGCTGCTCCCCTACAGTAAGCCCTGCGCACACGGACTGACCGCAGTCAAGCGTGTAAATTGTGTCATTCTCTCTAGCATGGGCAAACGTGCATTGCAAATAAATAAGTCAATCCCACAGAAGTCGATGCGTATGAATATCCTTCAACGATGATTTACCCAGGACAATTAATGATAAAGAGTTTTGAGTGTGTAAAGTATAACTGAAAGACATGGAAAATTCCTTCAATTTTCCATAGCATTAATACAAATATATCTTAAAGGTGTGAAAAGTGGAAATACTCTCATTGGGAGTCAACGACAAAGAAATACACTGAACACAAGTCAAATTACATGAAGCACACCTACACATATGGAACTCTATTGCAAAGACTTATCCCTTAAAACTTTCATTTCTCCAATTTGTGAATAACCTATATAATATACAAAGTATGCAAAATAGGAAAATGTTGCCATTTACATATCAAAAATAAATATAAATATAAAAAGAATTTGTCAGAAGTGGGATTCGAACCCACGCCTACAGAGTAGACTGCGACCTGAACGCAGCGCCTTAGACCACTCGGCCATCCTGACACGTATACCCATTGCTGCCAAAAAGCCTTCATGTATGAAAAACCGGCTAATTAAAAACAAAAACATACAATTACCATTTTGTAATTTGTTGCATGCATTAGCATATGTTTTAAACATCATGCTTCTTCAATGAATTAGCTAAAAATATTCAAGGATTTAAATATTTATTAATCATTCTCAATATTTATACACCCAAATGTACAATGATGTAATTTGCTTATTGTAAGACTTTTTGTGTAACTCAATCTAATATAACTATTAAATAAAATATGCTATCTAAAATATGCATAATAGTATGTATATAATTAGTACAGAAAATGTATTCCGGTATTTTGAAAATATTATCAATTTCCTCGTTTTAAAAACGCACCGTATCATTTCTACAAGTTATACGTGACTAAAAATATGACTACAATTTAATCAAAACTATTTGCACACATAAAAAATAATCGAATCTTAATAGTTTAGGCATTACTATTTTCCTTTAGCTCTAAGTCTTTCTTATGCTGATTATGATGTTGAGTTGTAATTGCAATTGATCTTTAAAGTTTATTCGCATTGTTGCATTTATTAAATTTGCCTAAAAAATTGTACATTTTACAATTCTTTGCTGCCCTTCATATGAGTTGTGTGTATATGGAGGGTTTATAGTTAGTGCACTCTCTCTTTATTCTCTTTGTTTTATATGTTAGCCCCAGCAGAAGTAAAGAAATTTATTAATTTGTATTTGCATTTAGCATTTTAATTCAGAACATGTTGCTTTATGTTTTTATATTTGCTACAATTCATTACTTCAATATTTGCCATATATTAAACTATATTTTAAGAAGTACGCTATATTTATATATTTATATTCAAATCTAGGATTAGATTTTGATATATACGCGATTGTGTATATGTAAAGTATGTACATAATTATTAGGCAACCACTTAAGCTTAGTTTATTGTGTGTTTTATAAAAATAATTATTATTTTACGCAATTTTTCATTTGCCTCAAAAATGTACTAAAAACCGAAAACTGTACATCAATCGTAACCGTTATCGTCTCTTTCATTATCATTGTCATTCGTAATCATTATCAAAATCATATTCAACATCATCATCATCATCATCATCATCATCATCATCATCAACATCAACAGCATGGTACAAAACAAAAGTAACCAAACTAAGCTACATAACTCTAAAAACTCAATACAGGTTTTATTATAATAGATTAGCAAAAGAGCTCAAAAATCAATCAATTTCTAAACACAAATTTTCTCTTTACAGGCATAGCCGTTGATGTGTGTCTATTTGGTTTTTAGATATTTTCGTACTTAAGCTAGTTTGGTTTCAATAACGCATGTTTCCTCTTTTGAGCTATACTAAAACAATTGTTATATTTAGTACACAATTGGCTTCAAGCTGCTGCTCCTGTTATTTTAGTACATTGACTTTCATGAAGCGTACATGCGATTAATGTCGTGCTGATATTTGTCTTGAATGTCCTTGCGCTTCAGCTTGAAAGCAGCCGTCACTAGGCCCATATCCGGGGACCAAACTTCCTTGCACAGCGTAATGGCGGCAGGCACCTCGTATTTCTGTAATTTACCTGCACCAGAAAAAAATATAATAATAATTATAAGCCTCTAACAACATATTTTATAAGTTAGTTAGTTACATTTCCTCGCATGTTCGCTTATTTCCTTGAGTATGGCCTTCTCCATGATTGGCGATGAGCACAAATCTTCAAACGTTTTGTTTTTAAGCCCATTCCGTTCGGCCAACTCTTCGAGATGTTTCTGATTCGGCACGACCAGCGCGACGGTATATTGTTTTGTCGGATCACCATAAACGCAAATGTTCTCAATAAAGCCACACGTCTTCAACTCAGATTCGACCTTGCCCAAGGAGACATATTCACCAGCCTGCAGCTTAACCAAATCCTTCTTACGATCTGCGGGCAAGTGGAACATTTAGCCCAGATTTTTAGCGTACATATTGTGTACTGGCACATACCAATTATCTTAAGTACGCCATCGGATTGCACTTCTCCAATATCGCCGGTTTTGAACCAACGGCGTCCATCTTCATCAAAAAAGTCCTCATTGGTTTTACCGGGCAGTTTGTAGTAGCCTTGCGATACGCAGTCGCCACCGATGAGTACCTCACCCTGTGGATAGGGTTTGTTGGTAACACGATAATGGCCCTCTTCCCAATTAACCAACCGAATGTCACAAACAGTCAAAGGTCCTCCAGTCCGTCCATAGGTCATGTCGCGATCTGCAAGCATATTGTTAGGTTGTAAAGCAAACTAGAATTGAATATTCAGGCAGAGCACTTACAGTCCATCACAGTTGCGCCAGAAGTGGTCTCTGTCAGGCCGTAGCCTTGTATCAATTCCACGCACAGGCACGTCTTGATCTGTTCGTGAGTGTCGGCCGAGAGCGGCGCACCGCCGGACATAATAATGCGCACCCTGCCGCCCATTAGCTTAGCCACCTTCTTGAAGACCAGCCTAGCAAGAGCAGAATGAATCACATGTTAATTAAATTATTTGTATAGATATTCTCTATATCGTGCATACTTGTCGATCAATGGTGTCTGATAACCGCGCTGTATCCACTTGACTTTGTACTGGTAGAGAAACTTAAAGAGCGCTTTCCTGAATGCAGAGCCAGAGTTGACCTTGTCGTTGATGCCCTTGGAGATGCGATCGAGTATCAGAGGTACGGAAGTCATGCACGTAGGCCTCAGCACGGAGGCGTCACCCTTGCAGCCACGCTTAATCTTGCTGCTCGTGTCGATTAGCGTCAGCGGCGTTGAGTAACCAATGGAGACGCCAGTCATCAGGCAAACGCTCTCCGCGACAAGCTCGAACACATGCGCCAGGGGCAGAAAACCGATCAACACATCTTCCGGATAAATGCTAACCATGTCACAAAAGCCTTTCATTGTTGCAATGCAATTCTTGTGCGACAACAGAACACCCTTTGGAGTGCCCGTTGAGCCGGAAGTATACATGATAATGGCAATGTCCTCGGCCTTTGGTGGCACGTTCTCTGTGGATGAATAAAAATCAAGAGTTAGCAATTGATCAAAAGCTAACAGCTAATACATTTATCCAATATTTATTTATTTATGTCTAGCCGCATTTAAACATACCAAATTTGCTGTCATTTCCAATTTTCACAACTTGAGCAAATGGCAGAATCTTAACGCCTTCCTTGAATCCACTTGTGTCGGTCTTGTGCAGCTGATCTTCCATATAAATGATGGTGTCGACATTTGGGCATTTGTCCAGCAAAGTTCTGAATTTCGGTAACAGATCGTGCGAGGTGATGACAGTGGTTACTTCGGTTTCGCTGATGCCTAAAAAATAATGTCAAATATGTTAAAAAATAAGTTTCAAGAATGTTTGTAAAACCGACAAAGCACAATGCATATAAATTCTATCTCAGCCGAGTCGATATGGCCATTTCATTTCACTTATTTGATACCTTTCCCTTATTCCACCCAAAATTGGAGGTTTTTTAGCATGGCGCTTTTCTGTTACAAATATTTGTATGCCATATTTATGCATACAATAAATAACAAAGATAATCGCAAACGCCCCTTTTCTATAGTGTGGGGCTAGGGCTAAAATCACAGCTGCAGAGAAAACCACGCGTCAAGCGGGTATTCGTTCTTCTTTAGTGAGTGAAGCCATACGCAAGAGCTCAAAGTCTTAACATCGGACTTGCATACGGTAAATAGTCCGAAGCAACGATTGAAAATAGATAAATGTTCTTCAAGGATATTTAATTTTCGGCATGCCGAACATGATCGCAGTTTCTTGTTTCAGTATACGTACAGTGGGCCACGCCGTCATCGCCAAGTGTGGCATAGACGGTTACAATGGGCATCGCCTGCTTAAAGCAACCATGGGCAGCTATCATCCACTCGGCACGAGTCTCAGCAAAGATGACAATGTTTTGTCGCGGCGCCTGGCCAAGTTCGCGCAGTCCACGTCCAAAGCTGGCCGCCATGCGCTCCGCCTCGATAAAGTTCTTCCACTTATAGTCGCCCATGTTGTACTTTTTGAAAACGCGTCCGTTTGGCTGTGTTTCGTCCTCCTCGCTGAGTATCTGGCGGGTGCCCAAGCAGCGTTTGGTCGAGTGCGTCTTGGCCACGTAATTGAAAACCTTTTCCAACGTATCGATATTCTCCTGCAGCATCTTCACATGCACATCGCGCGGCGGTTCCGTGGTGCGGTATGTCAGCTCAGTTTCTTCGTTCTTGATTATCTTTGCCTGCAAGTAACGAGCACAAATGTGAGTAACAATGTAAGGCAGAGCTCGAGTTTCAATCAAACCGATGCCACTAAATGGGATACCAAGCATGTGTATAAAGAAACGAGGTTCTTGGTGGTTTGGCTGGGAAGCTAAGGTACCCATACGCGTTGGAAGTGCAATTAGTATGAAACAACATATGTTTTATTGACTGATAAGTGGAGTGTGTGTGCGCTGGGTGGGCGTGGTGTACGTTAGTGGTAGAACCCGCAGATGGTACAGACACCAAAACTTTAAGACCAATTTATGTAATAAAACACGTATGCAAATGATAAAACCTCAATGTCATCCGCGGCGTACTTGGAGGACTCATCGACCAACAATTTCTTGCTTATGGGCTTGGCCTGCGAGTAGGGTAGGAGGTTAAAATTACCAATTAGCTTTGTGGCATATAACGAAAATGTGTTTTTTTGTTTTAAAGCTTTGCACAATTCGTATTTCCATTGAGTGAACTATTTAATCGATTGCAGCATTTGATTTACCTATAAAATTTATAGTACATATCATTTCCTTTTATTTCTTGCTCAACAACCGCTTGGTTCCAGCCTTATCACGGTTTAGATAGCCGATAACTGATTGTGAGAATGAACCGTGAGCTTGTGGCTAGAGTTATCAATGCTGACTATGTCACCAGTTCACAGAAAACTTGCACGCAATGAATCACATTGTTAATACGAAAGTATTAGCATGCCAATATACACAAATGCTGTATTTTTAAATAATATAAGGATTACAAACTAAACCCACATAACGTCAGCTACAATACAGCACATTCAAAGTCGCAAATCTTTTAATAACACATCGCAATTAATTAAATGCATATAATTCCTCGCCTAACTGAATTTATTGACAAGTACATTTTCATAAAGTCACGAATAAAAGTTTAAACAAAAATTAATAAATTTCATTATTTTACAGCTGACAAGAAACTGTAAAAATCAATCGTTCAACAAATAAGTTATATTTTACACATTTATATAAATCCGATTTCAATAAGACGCTTCCATTGAAATGTAAATCCCTTCAAAATACTATATTATAATATATACTATATAAATATATATTGCTCACATTTATTTTGAGAGAAAATGCAGAATGTGAGATTGGCTTCACGCACAGATAAAAGGCTCGTTGGCTTAAGAAAATTTGATAGCTGACATGACCCTTTCTTTCTTTTTGAGACATTTGCTCGATTTGATTTAAGTTTCTTACCAAGTTGTTAAAGCTAAAACTGGGTAAACAATGTGAGGCAAAGACGGCATGTGGAAAGCTGAAGGTAAAAGCATCGCATGACGAACAAGTTAAACTGCAACTGAGGCTGTGCAATTTGTGAAATAATAAAGCTACAATTACAGAAGCTGCACATAAATAAAATAGTAATAATAGTAAGTAAACGAAACATGCGATTAAAGACTATGAAACGCGGTTATTGAGAAATCGAAAGTCAAAATTTAAATTAATACTATGAACAAAAGCACAAACTAAACCAGATTTCAGCTTTGTTCAGCTTCTCAATGCTAGTTAGAACAATTCACTCACCTTGACTCGCCGTGAGTCCTGTCGACGTTTCCATGGCGCCTGTATTACCAAATAAACCGGCAGCGTTATAATGTCGTAGACAAAGGCAATCGCCTTGATGGCGCCCAGTGCACTCTGCACCCAGAAGCTATCCATTCTGCAAGTGGATGGAAAAACGCAAAAGCAAAGTTAATTATATTATTTGATTTTAGTAACAGCTGCTGCAGCTGTGTGTAACGATATGCAAATGGAAAGCACAAGATCTGCTCTGAAATTCTCCACTCATTATGTACCTATGTGTGTACGATATATATATTTAGTATTTTTAGGTTTGGGCAGAGTAAGCCACTAGTTATAGTTCTAGCTGCGCCGCAAGTCGAAAGCTAACTGATTTCAGTTGACGAATCTTTCGGGCCCAATACTGGAAAAGGCTTGCCACTCGCCGCTTAGCTGCTTAGCACTGCAGCTGCTCGAAAGGCGATAACGCTGGAAAGCGTTTTGCTTCTTATCAGCGCCTTCTACGCGTCGCGTTGATTTGCCGACACAGCTCTTACAGACAGGTTTCCGTTTCTTATGGAACGGCAAATGACTTTTTACAGGAACATAATCAAATTATAATCGATCTTGTTTAGCATCTTCCACTTGAGTAAAAGTGGGTCACAGGGACTCTTATATTTTTTAGGAGTCTAATAAATACTCGTAGTAATAATCGTTTGTCAATTGCCATTGTAAATTAAAGCCAAACTGATTTATGATGTGAACAATAAATTGTGAACGACCGTTCGAGATTAAATTCGTTTCCAGCACAGATCACAGATTACCCCACGGTATTTGTCACGCTTGACAACGATTTTTCTCTGAATATATATATATTTACAATGAGTTATTGTTCGGCTTCATAAACATATCTATTATAAGTATTATGAGCTTAGCTGTTCGCGAAAGATCGATACATGTATTATTAAATAATATTGCATTCCAAAATGATTTCAGTTTAAGCCACAATCTACAGCCCACCTGCTGCCAAATCATAAGCACATACATCATTAGATAACTTGCATAGTTCGCTTTTTATGATTATATTTTACGACTATTTGATTTCTTAATTTAAGCAAAACAAAGCTCATATCTTTTCTAAATTATTTCAACTTAAGCCACTATCTCACCGCCCACCTGCGGCCAATTAACGGCCCTTTCTACGTCTTTGTGGAAGTGAAGATAATATGGTAAAGCTGTTGCCTAGAGCTTCGTAATGCGTCTGTATGCATGTGTGTGTGTGTGTGTGTGTGTGTGTGTGTGTTAGTGTGTGTGAATAACATGATAATCAGCGGCTGTATGTGAACTCAATTATCAACCTTTGCACTGACATTCCAGCACGTTATCAAAACGGTAAGCGAATAAAATAAGTCAGGTTGAAAGTCTCAAGTAGCGTGATTTTCGCTGCAGCTATTATTAATAATTTTCCAGTTTGAAGGTCATACAATATTTATCATGAAATATATTAATTGCTAGATATAGATATAGACAAGCGCCGAAGAGAAATTTTCAAAGCAAATGATATTTCACACTGATCGCCAGCAGACATCGAACGCCTGTGCAAATGCTTTAATTATACTCGCAATCAGTGCAAAAATACTTATGCCACAACGAACTGATAAGGCGAGCTCCAGCGATAAGCAAAGCAACTACGAAACTACGTCACGTCCCTGAACTTGACATGCACTGCAAGTGACTGTTACGCCCGTTAATCTAGGACGCCCCTCGACCGGTTGGCATTGGCAACAGAGACTTAATGTCAATTAATTGGCACAGTTTGTTGGTCGGTTCACGGCGACTGATCGAGCACGCTGCAAAAGTAAATCTCTCCTATTAAAATATCACTCCCTCACACTCGATCGAGTTGCTAATCAAATTTCCATTTATAGCTTATCAAATAATTGGCTCGCAATCTTATCACAAATTTAAATATTCGTGCACTACAGTTATTTATCACTTTCATATTTATCTTCGCTAAAAGTACCCCAAATACGGTTTATCTTTAATCGCCAATAAAAAACGCCAAATTAAAAATATTAGACTTAAAATATCAGCATGGTTTATGGGCATGCGTTGCCAGCAAGAACAACTATCTTTGCCATGCCGAAGACTAAATACCCTTTTAGTCGATCGACTTACTATGATATAGTAACTAGACGTTTGACAGCTTGGTCTGATCCGGCCAATTTGGACATATATGTACCAAATATATACTATATAGCGACAAATATGTCATTTAGCTGCCATAAAAACATTCGCTCAAAAAGTAGGTTATTGGCGTATATTGAAATCTGAGTCAAAGCTATTGCAGATCGTTCATATTATATGTACATATAGCTCGCCGACGGAAAATGAGATTTCCACAATCGTTTCACGCAACTCAGCATTAAGACAATTGTATTTAATCCTCTGCTTTCTGTGTTTTTCTGGTCTTTAGTTAGTTGGTCTCTGGTTTTTGTCAAGATATGGTTTTTGTTAAGATATATTGTAAAAAACCTCTCAAAAACCATCCGACCGTAAAGATGCCAACTGACTTTAAAAGGTATTTCAATTTTTTGGGGTTTTTTTTTATTTTCAATTCAATAAAATGGCATGTGTTTTAATGTTAAACACAATTTGAGTCAGGTACAATTATATGCTTGAATTCACAATTAGTCGTGTATAAAATATGTTAAGCGATAATATAGCCGAGTCGATCTAGCCGTGTTCGTCTGTCCGTCCGTCCGTCTAATATCTCGGGTAATGGCTCCGCGCGGAGATATGACGTTCCAAAACGACATAACTCCGCGAGGAGATATGACGTTCCAAAACGACATAACTCCGCGCGGAGATACGACATTTCAAAACGACAGAACACCGCGCGGAGATATGACGTTCCAAAACGACAGAACACCGCGCGGAGATATGACGTTCCAAAACGACATAACTCCGCGAGGAGATATGACGTTCCAAAACGACAGAACACCGCGCGGAGATATGACGTTCCAAAACGACATAACTCCGCGAGGAGATATGACGTTCCAAAACGACATAACTCCGCGAGGAGTTTATTAAATATATGCAATGCATATTTTTAACTAAATGGTATGTTATTAAATTTAAAAAAGAATCGAATTGTTGAGAATTTTCTGCTTAAATTAAAATTACATTTGACTTGTCCTGATAGCGCGTATCTCATGCATTCTCAAATCTTTCGCTACGTAAAAGTGTACACAAATTAAAGCAAGTGTTGACATGACTTACATAAAGGTTGGACAATTAGATAGTTCAATGGGAGAGTACTTACTGGGCATCATCTTCGATGAACATCTTGCCGAGCTTCACTGTGGCAAGGCCAGCGGTTGAGACGGAGCGACACAGACAAGGGGGGAGAAATTCTAGAAAACGCTTTCTTTATTTCGTGTCCTTGTTGCCACTCCAAGCGTACTCCAAGTACAGTTGCGTTGATGGAAAAGCGCGTAATGCGTAATGCGTAATGCGTAATGCGTGATGCGGTTTCTACGTAGTTAGCTAAAACAGGTTGGACAAACAAATGGATGCAACATTTAGACGATGATGCCACTTTTCAAGCTGCAGTTGCTTTGATGTTTCATTTACCTACAATAAAATGAGAGAGAGAGAAAACAGATACGCATTTATGTAATGAAAATAATGACAATGATTAGACAATCAAAATGGTCTTTGTTGTACAAATAGATATAGCAGTAGGGCAAAAACAATAAGATGTTAGAACAGCTCTCACCAATGGCAATGGCAATGGGTATTCTTAGCTAGACACCTTTTCAATTTTCAATTGATAAAATACTTTAATGCGAATGCGATAAATGTGTAAAGAAAAAAAACAGAAAGAGCTTGAAGATTTTGTAACAGAACTTGGCTGACCTTCGTGGTCTCTTTTCGCTTTCCACTATTAGCATAAAAAATCATTTAAAATACTACAGAGCAGCATTTCATTAAACATTAAATGAGAAGAAAAATAAGGCAAAAAGAAAAGGTTGAATATATAATTTTGAATTTAAACAAAACAGAAAACAAGTTCTTCGGTTTCGCCTTGTGGTCTTGGTGTTTGGCCAAAAACTGATAATAAAAAAACAACAAGAACCGAGATACAGATACAAAAAAGATCCGTACAGATGTGTGTGTGTGTGTGTATCTATATTTAAAGATAGCACAGAAATTAAATTTAGACAGTCAAATGTGTGTTGCATAATACGCGAGAAATGCCAGAGAAATCTCACGCGTGTAACATTCGCCTTTTTCTACTTCTGCTTTTCTAGGCTACAAATTGACATAGGTCGCGCCCCCTATGAATGGAAGACACACGGAACTATTGTTGGGCTTGTTTGGCTTGAGCCATAAATACATTGATAAACAAGTTATTAACAATTTCTAATGGCAATCGCTTGGGCAAAGTCCACAGCAAGGTCTACTGATTGCGTCGGCAATATGAACGAAAGAGATATCCAAACTAGAAATTCTTCAGAATCTGCCGGCTTGATTAACGCATTGCCAAAATCGAGCAAAGTTCAACGTAATGAAGCGTCTTTTAATAAATATTTTCATGCATTGATTATTTATGGGCAGCTCTTTTGGTTTGTCACAAGACTCATAAACTCTTTTGCAAGACTCCTTGCCGTCATCCTTCAGCCCTTTCGGCTTTACAGATGGCATTTGTTTACGGCAGCGTACATTGAACCACGCCAGCGAAAACAATAACATGAATAACAAGAAAGACGCTTTTTCCAAACGTGTTTTGTTTACGCCGTGAGAGAACGTCGAAACACAATATTAATGCAAAATTCGACAGCTACTTAAATCTTTTACGCTTCAATTTTAAGTAAAAAAACTTAAGATGTCTTATTTTATTAAATTAATATATATGTGCTTGGTCAAGCGAATGAAGCAAGAACAAAAAAATATATCTCTTACTACAATTTTAAACATAATTTTGTTCAACTGATAAACGAGAAAGAACCTCCGGCTAAATGTCTGAATGTAGTTCTATCTCAGTCAAAATCTGTAAAAACAAGTGCATTGTTTACCCCAAATCCATTCAAAATTGATAAGATTTGTACATTTTCTGTTGATAACATTGAAATAAAAAGATTTTGCGCATAGCAAAGACAGATTAAAAAGAAGAGTGCTCCGACTAGAAGATACCCTAAGCTCCGCGACAAACTGCCTTTACAAACATAAGCAAGCATTTTATATATATCCAATACGTTCGAACTTTAAGTATCGATGATCTTTAAGATAATATTTAGCAAAGTGTGCAGCATAGTAGAGCAGGCATCGAGTGGCATCTATTCCAACTGGAGGTTAAGTTGCAGCAAGCACTCTGACCATGGGAAGCACAACGACTTGGGCGAAAGTTGTTTTCACATTGTCACAATTTGCAAGCGATTGCAATCGCCAAATTGTGGGCTAATGAATGAAAATTGTATGCAAACAGAATAGATTGAGTTCAGGCAAGCTTGTAGGCACACACGGGTACAAAAGTTTTGAACTTTGAACGTACACGCTGCCGCGTGTGCGACGAACGTGACCCTGATCAAAGTTAAATTGCAGCTAAATGGAATCATAAGAATCAAACTGCGACGACAACACCACCGAACAGCTGGCCAAACAGTTATGCAAACATGGCTCTGGATTAAGACAATCAGGAAATGACAAACACGTATCACTTGATCGCCAGCAACATATTCCGAGCACTTTGTACCCACCCAGCTACCCGAACCGCCAAAGCACACTCCACTCAAATGTTGGACAAGTGAAAAAGTGTTGCGGCTGCTAAACGAGCGACACATCTGATTTAATCAGTCGGTTTAGATAATCCCTTTCGCATGCGTTATGCTAACAATAATCGACCGACATAAACAAACAAATTGTCTTTATCATAGCAGATGGTAGATGAGCTATGCTCGAAATTATGGAAATACATATTTGCAGGTCTGCTCAATTCAATTTATTACCGCTTTCATTTCAAAGTTCAGCGTTTAATATCAGGTTTTAATACTCGTTCGCTGCCAATCTGAGCATTAGGTGAAACTGATTTTAATTGCTTTGATTAAAACAATTGCGGGTCCCCTTTTTATTATAGACACTGCGTATGCAACCGTTATAAACATTTTCAATTTGTTGCTACTGCGCGTTTTTCTTTTGCTTTATACATTTTCTCTATACCCTTACGAAGCATTCTATTTTCTTTGTCACGGCATGTGCAACGCATAGAAAATAGACGTCTGGATCGAACGAATATATCGCATAGCTTTATTATAGGATCAATTGGGAGTAGAGTTCATTTTATAGTACTTGCGTTTGCAAGGGTATCTAGTCTGCGGCATGCCAAAGATAGTTTTTTGCATGTTTTTGTTTGTTGAGTGTTCGAATCGTGAGCTAAATGCGCGTTTTCCAATTTTTTAAAACAGCGGGCCATTTGGCTTTTGCATATACGGCACAGCACAAACACAACAACAAATACGATTGATGGAAATCATTGAGCCAATGTGAAACGCGGACTCGACGTCATGCTCGACTAACTGGAAATGCAGGCGAGCGACTGGCTTGACAGCCTCGAACTTGAAAGTGCATTTGTGCATGTTGACGGCGTTTTGATTTCACTGACATCAGCCGAAAATATTATTTGCCCAACTCGACAGAGTTTCAAGAGTTCCATGTCGATAATCACAATCACGCAGCAAGCCAATTGCACGGCTCACAAAGTCCAAGTTCGGTGCAAAGTCCCAGGTAATCGAGCTTGAAACAGTAGAACGATACCAAAGCACAAATATTTGGATCCGTTATTGTGTGAACTATTCCGAGCCTAGCCTATGTTATTATAAACCTTTTAAAATTGCCCACGTGCCCGCCCACAAATAACGAGACTAACTCACTTGACTTACAAATAAAAGAAACTAAATCAAAGTGTTAAAAGGTCACATTTGAAAATGATTTTCAATCCGCCAATTTTCCACAATTGCGGGTGAAATACGTTTTCGTCAAGTTCCTGTGAAAGGCTTTGAAAATAGGTTTGAAGCCAATCGAACAAATGTGAAAAACTACTCAAAAATCAGTGTAATATTTAGAAAAAGAATTTGCACCGTTATTGGCAATCACAGTTAAAAAGTTAGATGATTATTGAAAACAAAAGTGTTTAAAAAATTAAAAAATACTTTCAATAATTAAATAATATTTATTGTAAAAGTAAAATGAGTTAGCGCTTGCTGTTAAATGTTTTAAATTGCCAATACAACCTATCTGGCCTGCACTGATTAATAATTTAAAAAAAAAGTGAGAATTTAGTGCCAGACTTTGAAATAACATTTACACAACACATGCAAATTGAACAATTTTAGGAAACGAACACCTTTGTAATTTGTATGCCTCGTACGTAACAGGTAATTAAGGTCAGGTGAAGTAACAAATTTATGTAAATGTTCCAGAAATAAATAAAAATAAAAAAAAAACAAGTAAGAATAGATTATTGATAAGCATCATTAGCAATGCAAATGCCGGCAATATTAAAGAAAAGTTCAAATAGATACATTTTACAAATCTTAAAACAATCTAATAACAAAATAGAACGAAAACTGTTTATTAGACTAACTAACTAATGCGCTCACAGTCATGTGTTTGTACATGTTAATATGCATACGTCGGACTAATAAATATAAATATTTGTATTTTTTACTTGAACACATTTTCTTCACAATAGCTTGAATGTGCTCCCATTCAATTAACTTTGCAAAGTGCCTGTTAACAAAATAATATATACTTTTATGACTTTTTTTTTTTTAATTTCCGCCTACTGTTGCTAATAATTGCAGTAAAACTCAATGATTAATGCCTAAAAATAAGTCGATCAAATAAGTCCACAAACAACAATTTGTATGGAATATATGCTCATTAGAAATAATGATAAATGATTTCTCTGAATAAGAAATATCTCATTTATTTATTTATTTTTTTTTTTTGCTGCAATGATATAACTTTTACAGTTAATTTATTTATTGACATCAACTCACACCAATTGCTGCCTTGTTGCGCCAACAAACTTGAATGCGCAAATAGCTTGCACAGTCACTTGAACTTTGGCATTCGCAGCAAGACCATAAACATTCAACCAAGGTGCTAAATGCGAAACGGCATGTAACGGTGCTCGTTAATCATCAGCATATCGATGACACGCGAGTTGCCTTGACATTGGCGGGGGCAGGGAGGGCGGCGGTCAATGATTCTCTATTCCTGTGTATGTACATACATATATGCACACACACACACATGCATGTGCAATATAATGCTCAAATGACCTGTGATCAAAATGCTTGGCGATTGAGCAAAAGAGAGCAACTGTTCTTTGTCATTGTCTATGTGTTTCCTAATTCTCTCGCCCGCTCGCTCGCGCACTCGCTCTATCTCATTTGCTCAAATGGGGTAACAAAATCATCGTATGACTGTGTCAAAGTCCGAAATAAAAATAATTTCTGTAGTTATTTTATTTATTTTTTTTTTTTTTTTTAGTTTTTGTATGCAGCTTATTGAGCGCACATAAAATGAGAAGAATGCTCGCGCAAGATTGAAATAAAACAACAATAATCATAAATTTAAAAATGCTACAACAATTTGCATAAAGCGCTAAATATTTCATAAAATGAAAAGAGAAAGAGCAACAAGTATGCAAAACAAACAAACACAAACCGAAGATTGTGTGGGAGAATTGAAATGAATTTGATTGCCGGCAAGTGCAGCAAGCCGAGAGAGAGCAAGAGCGAGAGCAAAAGCTCACACACACACACACACAACAACAGCAAGCAGATAAGTAGGCAGACAGTGCTGCCTGTTATGCGCACTCTCTTTTGCACTCGCTCATTTCGCCTGCCTCTCGCTCTGCTTGCCATCACATCGGCAAGGCAATGGGCGATCATGCATGAGTGTGTGGGAAAGTGATGAGGGACTGAAATTGACGTCAACGTCGACGCATGCTCAACTACACACACACACATGCAAGTGACCTAGACAAGTATGCGTGTAGTTATCTTTAGAGTGACCATCACACACAGCTTTCCCAGTCTCCCCAACCCTATAGCATACCCTGTTAGGAAAGCACGTGCCATGCAAAGTGAAAATTTTCCACAAGATAAACAGCACATTGGCAATGATCATGATTACAGAGAGCACAAGCACGTCGCAAAAGGCCGGTTTAATGCATTATAAAAATACGATACGGGCAATACGGGCAACTTGATGCCCGTTGGCAAAACCGGTTAGAAAATCTTTTCGCATACATTTCAACGTCGTGACTAAAGCAAACATAGTTTAAATGTGTGCAGGTGTGTGTGTGTGTGTGCGTGTGTGTTGATGGTTCATCAGCGTGAGGTCTTCAGAAACAAACGTGTTCAGTATTGTATGCCAAAATGTGGATTTATTCATGCCCCACAGATACTATTTATATACCCCATATTAATTACATATCTAACGAATGAGAAGCTCATTTCCGTATGTTTGTAAAAACGTAGAACTAACGCACTCTCTTCATACATAGGAATGCCCTAAGTGAGTTAAGCTTTTTTTTAATTAGTCCTAAGAAGCCCCATTACATAATATTTAATTCTCAAAATATATAAATATTCAAACAGTTTAAATAAAATTTTATTTAAAAAAATGGTCACCCTAAGAGCCCAAAGTCGAGTAAATAAACACAAGGTGAGCACTAGATTTGTTAATAACTCAAAGTGAGATAATGAAGCAGAATATGATAGTGAGGATTAGAGTAGAGAGAAGAGAGGAGTGTCTTAAAATTGCAGCTGATAACGTGCGCACACTTAGTATATACATATCTATATATTAACATATATTTTTATGTAAATAAGTGGTTGCAAAAACTTTTTGTTAAAACTTCTGGCAAATATATGCATTAGCATGTCCACATATTAAACACTAGCTGGCATTTCCCGGCCTTTTCCGTGTCAGGGTTCTTGTATCGAATAATTTTAACTATTTTCCGCCCTTATTCCACCCATTTCCCACACACAGAAAATGCAAATGTAAGTAATATTTCGAATTGGAAGAGGTGGAGAGGTGGGTTTGCCGCAAAACGTGGAACACGTCTTAATTGGATTTTCAATACATTTTCTTTATATTTCTAATTGTTTTAATTAAGCCAAAAATATGCCAAGATGAGCGGCGGGATATATAAATAGCTGCCACTCTTCGACATATGGACGAAGTTTAAGATGGAAATGTCTCAGAGAGAGAGAGAGAAAGAGAGAGAGAGAGAGCTCTACAGTCTCCAGATTCAGGGCAGCATGGAACCTGTGTCCTGACCCTGTTTGGTATGCATTTTGCCAAGCATCAATTCATCTAATAAATAAAAATATAGCAAACAATCGTTTTCCACGCCTTTCCCACACTTGCGGGTGGAATTTCAGAAAGCCTCATCTTTGAGGGTTTTACGGTTTCGACAGTGCATTGATCCTTCAGTCAGTTGACTCTGCGGTGCCCTGTAACCAGATCTTAAATGCAGCACAGAGTAAAAGTCTGCGAGGGGAAACAACGCATGTACATACATATGTACATACATACATACATACGTACATATGTATGTTCATGTAGTTACATAGAAATCGCGTGACTTTTTCTGCTGGGCCCCAAAAGCAACGGCAACGGCAACGGCAACTGCAACTGCAACGGCGTAAAAAGAAAAGCGCCAGACAAAAAGTCAATGGGTGTAGGAAAATCGGTTGAGGGTTGGTGCGGCAGCATGTCGTGGCACGTTTTCTTCGTCTTCTTTTGCTTTTGGATATACCAGCTGAAAATCGTACGAGTTTCAGGGGAAATGTTGCGCAGCAACAGCACAACAAAAGTGCGGCGAACAGGGCGAAATGAGCGAAAGAGGGCGAATAGCATGGCAATGGGTTGCAATGCCTCTGACGTCGACGTAGACGTCAACTGTACAAGAGCACAGGGCGAAGGCGAAGAGAGCACGCGCTCTCGCCGCCGTCTCATTAACTGTGGCGGCGGGCTAAAAGGTCAAAGAGCACGTTGTTTACAACGTTGAATGCTGCTTGGCCCCGCTGCTCTGATTTTGACAATTGGGTTTGGCCATGAATGAAAGCTGCGACCGGCAAACGCTACATGCACAAATACATACATACATATGCGTATATAAAAGCCAGACGGAAAAAGGGCAAAGGGTGGTGTTTACCAAAAGTATTTATAAAAAATCTTAAAAATATCTGAGATGAACTAAATGTATTTTCCAATTTGACAGCAATTATAAATAATAATAAGTTTTTTTTTTCAGCACAAACGGAAAGCACATGCAATATATATTCATTACAATAACAGTTATGTGAAAAGGCAACTGTACACGAAATATGTTGAGCACAAATAAATAATGTAAATGCCAAACTTCAGTTTTCGCTCACATGTATATTGAATCGTCCAGAAAAAATATGTGCGCTACTTAACGTGCCCGCCGCCAATGATAAACGACTGCAAGGGCACATGCTTCCGGGCCATAACAAAGCCGCACCCCAGAAATCAGACATCAGAAATCAGAAATCAGCTCGCCAACGCGTCATTGAAAATGCATCAGCATTTCCATGGGCCATCGTTCGGCTCGGCTCAGCTGGTCAGTGAGCGCCGTCGCAATGGCAACAACAACAGAAACATATGACACATCCACAGTGCACATGACCCCGCAGCGACCCACAATGCCCAGCAGAAGAAGAGCAAGCACAGCAAAACTCGCATGATTTTCAGTTGGTATAATAAACCGAGCAGACAAGAGAGTGTGGGAGTAGAAGAGCGACTGAGTCAGCTAGCTGGGCTCTCTCCAGTCTGTAAGAGAGCGTGCGCATATTTTGACAATTGTCTGATGCACGTGCACGCGGCCAATAGGGGAAATGGTTGGGCAGCATAAGAGAGCGCCAGAGAGCTCTGAGCAGAAATTGAGAGAGCTTTGTTTTTGTAAGCATAATTAAAATCATATTTGATTTGTGGTTAACAGTAACTAACGGCATAAAGTGCATTTTTTCTTTACGCTTTGATTGCATACATTGTGATATTATATTTGGAAAGAGAGCTGACAACTTTTTAAAATCTTTTGTGATTGCCAAGCAGACAGAAATCAATAGACAAATAAACAAATCATTTGTTCTGTTTATTTGGTTGCCATTGGCTGCATTGCATAATGCATATGCAGCGTGTTGCTCAATGCATCCGCTCTCTCGCAAATTGAAACTGGGTCAACGTGCGTTGTTTACCGCAATTGCAACTTGTTAAAATTTAAAGTGGCAATGCCATCATAAAACACTTAAGAAGTGAACAGAGCGCGGCTGCCTGCGGGGGCTCCATTTGTATTTCCGACACGGGCATTGATCAGGTGGCGTGACATTCGAGCCGCCACGCCGGCAAAGGGAATCCGTCAGAGCAAGAGAGAGAGAGAGATAATGCGCGTCTCTGCCTGTTTGTGCGTGCGACCTGTGTCAGCTGAGCGATGGACAGACAGAGGCAGTGGCAGAACGTAGCTAAGTATGTAGTTGCATACGTCATACACACCGTTACTTGAATTTAAAAGCTTACCTGCTGTATTTGCAAACGGTTATAGTAATTTCCAGAGTTTTTGCGTCGTTGTGTTTGGAATGCCGTTATTTGCATTGGCAAACGAGCGTAGGCGAGTGCAGAGAGAGATAGCGAGAGGCAGAGAGAGATAAAGAGAGAGAGAGAGGAGCGCGCACATGTAATAAACACCAAACAAATGTATTATTATACATGAAATTAATTAGTAAACAATTATTTTACTTTGTTTGTTTTTAGCCAATGCAACATTTTAATCATACACAGATATTTTTGACGTAATAACCACGTTCGTAGGCGTTATTCCAATGAGAATTTGTGTGGCGCTTAATCACTTTTACTAATCCGTGATTTCCAACGCTGATTGGGCTATTTTAAATTTTAACTTTCACCAAATTACACACTAATGCACATGTTTTTTTTGTTTTTTTGTTTTGTAGTTGCGCTTTTGCCAATTCGATGGCCTACTCACACTCACAAACACACTTACAAAGGAACTATCACGAGCCAACAGCTCATTCGCCGCCGGGCGAAAAACGCAAAGCGATTTATTACTTACACAAAGCTTTAAAGTTAGGTTTTTTTTATTTTGCTTTCAATTGCGTTTCAAGATTTTAGTATGCGTTTTAATTTCGCGCCCGCATGTACATATATCAATACACAAACTTCTTTCAATAGATATGTGCACGTATGTATGTATATGTATGTGTATGTACGGCCACAACGCGTCCAATACAACGTTCTCAAAACACGTTGAGTTTGCTTCTGATACGTGTATAAAATGTCGCCGTCGCTTTTGCCACGATTATTTTCACCGTCTGATTCCGACCGCTCACTTACGCACACACAGGCAAAGCTGTTTGACGCTCTCTCTTTTGCTCTGGCTCTTGCGGTCAAATCTGTTTTATTATTACCTACTTGTGCAGCACATGCAGATGCAGTACGTTTAGTCGGTAAATAAGTAATGTTAATATTAACAGTTTTATGTGTCCCATTTAAACGATGCTACGGCTTTTACTATTATTTACACGCGGCGCGCTTCCAATTGTTATTTTCATTTCTTTTTCTTGTTGTTGCTTATATCGTATTAAAATATCGATAGTTCAAATTGAAATTTTAAATTTACGATATTTCTTACCGATTCCAATGCTATCGATACTAAGACATTTATATATTGCGGAAAACTGTGAGTACGATTCGCGCTTGCATGGCTATATGCAAGTCAAGTGCATTTCCTTAGGCCTTGGACTTATTAGACTGCAAATAAACTATAAAAACATACTTATCGATACATTTTATACAAATAAACATCGGCAAATTCGATGATATCATGTACATCCACCCAGACGGCACGCGCAATTCATGCCTTTACTTTTGTGTTTACGCCAGTTACTTTCGTCATAATTGACTTTGCAATGACAGAGTGCATATCACGTGTTTTTGGCGCTGCCACTCAGTAAAACATTTTAATTTGACGAAATTGCTTAGCCAGTGCTTTACTTAACGAATCATCAAAGTCTACCACCCGCGCGAAACAACTAGTACAGACACAAACCCAGTATTACAGTCGCATGCAATTTTCTCCCGTGCGTTTATTTTATTTACCTTTACAATAATTATACTTATAAGAAATATATAAAAGGAAGCAGTTCCTAATCACATCTATTGGGGCTCAAAAAAGCTATCTCTAGTAAAATCATGCACCAAATCCCACTCGGCAACACATGCGTAGATCAGAAACACAGCAAAAAGAGTCCACGAAAATATTCCCAACGATCGTCGGGCCACAAAGTTAAAGGTCAGGCACAGCCACAGTTGGGCTACAATTGCCAGCAAGAGGAATATGTAACAGTTGTCCCCCTCCTCGCCGTACAGCCAGTACGAGGATCCCTTCAGCCGCGTATTCGTGTTGAACAGAAGGGCCACGCCCATGCCCAAGGCGATGCCTGCAGGTGTAAAAGGATTATTTAAACGTGTTAAAACTATAATAAAATCTTTTTTAAACAAAAACAAAGTATTTGCCCTGAGCCTGTGGGAAATTTTCAACTTATTCTATTTGTTCTTATTACTCGAAAAAAAAAAAATAATATAATAAAATTATTTTTCAAATATTTAAAGCAGACGTCGGCGCAGTTATGCGGAAATCCTGGGTTCAAACCCCCGGGGAGGAAAGCATTTTTATTTCGTGCAAATTAATAAAATTGAATTTTCTTTTTGTAGTTTTTTTTTTTTTTAAGAGAATTGTTTCGCCCTTGCGATTACCCGGCTTTGTTTGGCCAATATTTAAATTGATATTGGATGGGATTATTTGAATTATTTCTTCGCGCATTTCTCTGCTGACCCAAAGGATTTACTTACTGGGAGAATACTTACTGAAGAATGGACCGGCACAGCTGGCGGCAAAGGCCATTCTCTCGTAGCCCTGCATGGCCAGGGCGAAATTGGACATGAGATCGATGGTGGCGTTCGTCATCGAGCCGAAGGTGATGTCCACGAAGCCCTCGCTCAGATTCAGCACGCTGCCCACAATGGAGGTGAGCACCTCGATCTCGTTGACGCACAGAACGATGATGACCAGCGAGCCGGACGCGCTCAGCGTGATGAACAGCTGCAGGGATCAGGTCAGGTGCGCTTCGTCGGAAGGTCTTGCTTCCACTTACCATGTGGTAGGGGGGCGGCATGTCGGTCCTGGCATGCAGGAATACGAGAAGTGCCAGCGGCACCGTCAGGCAAAAGGACCACTTCGAGTAGTTTAGGTTGAACTCAATGTACCAGGACTTGTAGACGCTGGCGAACTTGGCTGCAGATGAGATATGAGATGGGAGGTAGGTAAGCTCAAAGCTCAAAGGTCAAAGGTCAAAGGTTGATTCGCATACAGTGAACCGCGGTGATCAGAATGAAGGGATTCGTGACAATCTGCGTGCAGTTGAGCAGCTTGCTCCAGCCGTGCTTGTACCGCTCGTAGTCCACCACGGGCACAAACATGGTGATCAGCAGCACCAGCGGCATCTTCATGATGATCATCAGCCGGCCAAAGCAGCCGCTCAGCTTCCACTCAACAGCATCGAAAGGATTCAGCGTTTCCAGAAACTCTGCACCAAGGAATCGATTCTTTGCGTTGGACTTGCTGTGCAACATGGTCCGATTCGTCTCGTAGTCCACCTGCTCCGGCCTCTGCTCCGACAACGACTTACTGGAGTTTCTCCCTCTCTTGACGAAATAATGGGAGTTGCGCTTCTTAAAGTTCAGAGCCTCATTATGCTCCAAGCGCAACAGTAGAGCTGTCTTCTGCTTCAGCTCCCTGCTATTCCTTTGCGAGGTTGTCTGCGCCCTCAAGATGCGTATCTCCAGTCGCAGCTCTGCGTGGTAAGACGAGTTAAGAGTCTAGTCGGCAGTGACCGACTAGAAGATGCCCTGTACCCTACTTCTAATAATAGTATCATGCTATGGGAAATGCTTGCTCGACTAACTGCGGTCTAGCTAGGTCTAAAATGTGACTACGGATTCCTACTTCTCTTCCGACTACCAAGGGGTACAGGGTATTAAGAGACAGTGTGTGCAACTTACTTCTTAGGGAATATCGCATCAGCAGAAGGTCGGCAACATTGACAACCAAATAGGCGACATAAACCGAGAGCAGCACTGCGACGCAGTCACGATCATAACTATATTTAGTCATATTATTAACGAGAGACTTACTTATCGACTCCGTCTCGGTCACACTGTCTCCTTTGACCATGATGAAGCGCAGCAGCTCGACGGAGAGCAGCAGGAAGAGCAGGTTCTGCGCAGTGCTGTGCCCATCCATTTTGAAGGGCTTCAGATAGCAGACCATGCCCCCGGAGAGCAGCAGTATGGCGACAGCATTGCTGATGATGCTCGTGAACAGAGCCGCATTCTCCTTGATGGGCATCAGATTGGCTATCAGATCCGGGGATGAGTTGGCGAAGGCCAATATCGTGACGCCAGCCAGGTACTCGTTCATGCGCAACTTGAGCGACAGAACCTTAAGAGCAGGCGTTAGGCTTCGATATGGATGAAATGAAAATATGGCTGCCCATTGATCAATGATCTACCTAGCTACTTACAACATATCCACCACAATCGACATGAGAAGCACATAGAAGAGCGCTGCCATGAACAGCAGCAGCATCATGCAGACTTCCGTTGTCTTGTCGCGAATGCGCAGCATGCAGAACATCAACTCGAAGTAGTTGAAGTAATTAATTATATGTCGACATTCCTCCAGTTTCTGGGCCATCGTGCAGCGATACGGGTAGGACACCTTCATCAGGCTGTGGCAACTGGTCTGTGGATGGGCATTTAAAGCAGCCTTGCATGGCGAATGCAAACGTTATACGAACATTGGACAGAAAGTGCCTGAACTCGTCCTCAAGCAAGGCCATCGCATCTATTACTCATTTATTTATAAGCTCCTTAATTATGCTATAAATACAAACCCAAACATTTATTTTAAGTCTCTGACAGAATAGGCACTATCGAAATGGAAACGATGACAATCAAAATCAAATGTATTTCCTCTTCTCTGGCTCTCTGAGCAAATGAGCGTTTCTCGGAGCCGAACAAAAACGAAGTCGCATTTGGACCACTCGCCACAAATATGCGCGCTCCCATTCTTTTACTCTAGCTGTCCAGCCGTTATGTTGCTTAGGACGATTGCTTTGATACGAGAATCCTTGAGCGCAGAGCTTCGTGTGGCTGCAGGTGAAATATGTTCTCTAATATTTCATCTACACAAAACAAATGCTATATTGGACTTGATATCAAAAGAGTTTTCATTCATTCAAAGAACAATATTTCGCTTTACAAATGGTTTCGATTTTATTTAAATGCTTTCGCTTTTTAAGAACTGCATAATGTGTGTGTGTGCGTGTGTGTGTGTGTGTGTGTGTGTGTTATTTGGATACGTACAGTCCTTAACATTGTTTTATTAAATTTATATGGTTTTTTTTTTTATTTATAAATTTTGGCTGTAAATACCTACGGGAGGGATTCTTCTTAATATTTGTAATTTCGTTAGATTAGTCAATTTTTGTTGTTCGTTTTTTGGGTTTTTTGTTTTTTTTGTTTCTCGTTGTTAATTCTTAAATTCAGTATGTGTGTGTGTGTGTGTGTGTGTGTTGTTTTTAGCGATACTATTTTGGTTCAAGTCCTTGTGTTCTATGTACATATTTAAACTAAATTAAATGCTATAAATTACTAGTGTATGGATTGGTTTGATATTTGAATCTCGCGTTTAGATTGGGTCCTGTAGATGACCCCGAACATAAGTACATAGCTCTGTATGGTGTGTGTGTGTGTGTGTGTCGGGTGTGTGTGTGTGTGTGTGTTACAATAAATAACTCTATGTTTAAGAATGCCTTAGATGCTAAATACATACATACAAGGCTGCTAGGCATGCGAATGGAGCATAGCAGCTGCTATATATACTACACACATATATATATATATATATATATATATATATAGGTTAACCCTAGAGATATATGTCCTATGTGGAAATTAACTAACATGCATACACATATACAGATTAAGATACAGATACAGTTAATGGCTACAGGAACTAGTGCCAGGGCTAACTCGTAAAGTTGTAGCTGCGCACCGCACGTCCGGGCGTGACCAGCTCCACCTTGATGTTGGCCGTGGCCGTCACCTTGGTGGTGTTGCTGTCCGAGTGTGTCGTCTCCACGGTCACCTCCGGCTGCACGACAATGCTCTGCAGCTCCGGCGGCCCATAGCCGCCGGGCATGGGCTGCGCGGCCTTGTGGTAGGATGGCGGCGGACCCGCATAGCCGCAATTCGAGCTGGAGGCGGCGCCATGCGGTGGTTCACGTTC